CATTTCTGCTGCTGGTAAGCTTAGCTTCCACAGACAACTCCCCCTTTTCTAAAGTATCTAAAAACCTAGACATTGTCCCATCTATTTTATTGGTTAGCAGACTCAAGTGGGAAGAGATTTGTCCAAAGGAGCCCAGCTCCTAAGAGGATGGCTGGATCAAGACAGAAGACCCTTCAACTCTAAAGCCTGGCTTCTATCACCGTCATGGAAGTTGGGGCAACATTACTCAGAGATCCCAGCTCCCCAAAACAATGACTGAGCACAAAGACAGACTTAAAACTCCACAGCCAACGTGCCTAGAGATTTCAGGGGAAGCTGGGACAAGCCAGGGCAAGAGCCAGAGGGCTGTGGAGCTAGGGCTGGAACTGCAGCAGGGCCACTCCCCATCAGCCCTCATGGGACAAGGACCCCAGAACTGCCCACATGTGTTTGAGACAACGCCCATGTAGAATATTCACTTGTGGAAGGGCGGAGGAGCTGAGACAGGGGACAGTATGTGTGAACTGTAGACCCCTGGGCAGAGAAGGCACTCAACTTGGTACCTTTTGCTGAATGTGGCTGGAGACTGAAGGTCATGAGAGAAGATAAGCCTGTCACTTGAAAAACCAGATCTCTTGGTGACATAAATTGGTGACTCCAAGACTTTGCTATATTCCTTGGGCACTGGATTCCAGCTGTTCACCCTTGCCTACCAACACCTGTCTGGCCAAAGCAGCTTTATCTAGCATGCCTTGTGCTTTGAAGCCTGGAGCCTCTTTCCTGTTCTCCTCGGCTTTTGTCTACTTCATTCTTTTGTACCTCAGGGTTCCTCTGTGACATGAGAATAATGCCTGCCTTACAGTACCAAGGAAATCAAGCAGTTCATGGAGAAATGGGGAAGCTGGTGCATTTAGAATGTGGGACCTGGGAATACAGGAGTCAGGAGTCAAATGGATGCCACTGGTCATAAGGACAGGCACAGGCTTGGTGCCACCTCACCCTTCTGGCTAGATTGGATGTTCGGACAGCTTCAAAGAGCCTTTGCTAACCTGGCTTAGGGGTGGGACTAGTGTCTCTCCTGCCACACCTCCTCTCAAGCATTTGTCATACTGAATTATAAGGATGGATTAGTAGACTATTACTGCTTAAAAGCAAGGGCATGTCTCCTCCACCTCTTTTCCACTAATGCATGTTTAGACGCAGGAGACCTCCATGATCAAAGGGATGCGAGGCCCTCCAGGTGGCCAGCCCAGTGGATTAAGGTTGTTTGTTTCTCTTACTCTGGCTTCCCAGTTTTCCAAGGGGTCTTGCTGCAGGATACTCCCTGGGAGTTCTGAATGTCCAAGCTGCCCAAGCGGCAGCAGCAGCTTGCCCTGGTCTTCCTTGTTAGCATGGCACAGGCCAGCGTTTCTAAAAGGCTTGGAGTTTAAGTAGACAAAGGAAATCATTAATGATACTAAAATAAGCAGATCTCTCAAGGTGGAAAAACGACAGAAACCACCCCACAAGCAAACACAGCTGGATCTTTGAAAGGTGGGTACCAACCAGCACAGCTTGGGGAAAAAAGTTTTTCTGCCATTTGCAGAGGTTCAGAGAGTAGCTAAAGCTTAACCCCTCAGAGGTGTTTCTCCCATGGACAGGGACCACCACCATACTGATGGTGCCCTCACTGGTTTCATGCCTGGGCCTTCCTCCCCAAACCAAAATTGTGTTTTGTTGTTTTGTTTTGTTGAGACAGGGTTTCTCTGTGTAGTTCTGGCTGTCCTGGAACTCACTCTGTAGACCAGGCTGGTCTCCAACTCAGAAATCCGCCTGTTTCTGCATGGAGAGTGCTAGAAATAAAGGCAAAATTGTTTTCAAAGTGCCCCTCTAAGGCTCCTTTTCTGTTTCCCTTTCTCTTTCCTGGCCAAGTCCCAGCAACTCCCTCTTTCTTATCTGTCTTTTGGGAACAAAAATAATAGCATCTTATAAGATTATTTTGAGGATTAAATGAAATAAAACCCAGAATCCCTAGCACCCAGGTGGACTGCCTACCCTTCCAAGCCATAAGATCTCAACACACAAACCATCATCTCTCAGTCTAATCCAGCCTTGAGGGTGCCAGACACTCCCTGGAAACAAGGGAAACTCCCTCCCTCAGGGTGAACAGGGAGGAGAATCTGATTTGATTGCCAAGGAAATATACTTGCCAGTTGGATGAGCCAGGGGCAGGGCCAGCCTGTGGTCAGGACATGCTGTGTTTGGAGCGCAGGGTAAAGAGCAATCTGGGTCTTTCTATAACTACACAAATGACCTTTAAGCAAACTTCCTTCCTGCTCTGTGCCTCAGTTTCCTCACCTGTACACACCCCGACCACACCTCACAAAGTCCTCGGCTCCCTCCAGTCAAACTACTCTGCATTTGGAAGCAAGAGCAAATGTCCCACTTCCTGCTCAGTAGTCTGTAAGGGAGAGACTGTCCACCCAGTTTTCTCTCAGTCTTCCCTCCAAACCCGTAACCCACCTGCCACAGGCAGCCAGCCTCCCAGGGACAGCCTCGAAACTCCCTTTTCCTCCTAGCAGAAGCCTCAACATTTGCGCAAATTCTTGAAGGGCAAAGTCCACAGCTTGGGTCTTTACGGCTAGTGCCTGGCACACAGTAGATCTCTGGAAATCGGTCATCAGGTCAATCTGCACATACAGCACTGGCTCACAGTGGCAAGATAGTCTGTTCAATGTTTATTTAAAGAGTTAGGAAAACCCCACCATACAGGTCATGCACAGTGGCACAGGGCCTGGTGTCTGCCTTCTAACCAGAGTACAGGATGGATACCACAACTTGTAGACTATACTAGATCCATTCAAACTCCATGCAGAATCCCATCACACCATGACAAAGGACAGCAGGTTAGGGTAGTGCAGTGATTCAGAGCAAGGGCTTCGGTGTTTGGATTCTGGCTCAGCTGTTTACTAAGTTAGGCAAGTAACTTAACTGTCCTAGTAACTTACCTGTCCCAGTAACTTACCTGTCCTGCATCTTGTTGTTGTTGGTTTTTTTTTTTTTCCTCCAAATATAAGAAAAACATCTGTCTTACCCAGAGCATGAGACAGGGCTTAGGCAGTGAAGGTTTGCTGCCAAATTTGACAGCCTAAGTGCTATCTTTGCTCTGGGCCTCAGTGTCGCCTTCTTCAAGGCTTAGCTCCAACTATCAAACTGCTTTGCATCTTGAAGGGAAAGAAGTCTCTCATTTCCTGCTCAGTACTCCACTGAGAGACTGCCCATCCCAGGTTTTTTTTAATCTGTCATTCCAAACCTACAACTCACCTCCCACTGAGAGAAAGGAGAGATGGATTCCTGCAAGTTATCCTGTGACTTACCTACACACACACACACACACACACACACACACACACACACACGCGCGCGCATAAAATGTCAATTTCTTAAAGCAGATGATCAAAAACACGGTGGGTGACAAGTCACAAGCACTAAATAAATTAAGGTTTAGTGAATGTTACAGAATATTACATCATCAGTCCTGACCCTTGACCCCAGCTACAGTTCACTGCCATCCACTTCCTTTTCCTCTTTGTGTGTGTGTGTTCAGTCTTGCCTTTTTCTTCAGCAGAGAATAGTACACAAAGAAAGCTTAGTCAGACAAGGAACAATTATCTAGAGGGAAGGTGGAAGAAAGGACAATGAAAAGCTCACTTCTCTGGCAAGCATCTAGCCCACAGCCTAGGCCACGCCTCCCAGGAAGAAGCAGCCCTCACTGTCCTTCCTAGCATCTTTTCTGTTTGGCCTCCAGGATAAAGACGGCTGTAATTACACTCATGAAGTTAAGTAAGAACAGTGGACTCAAGCCTCCAGTTTTACATTCTGATCTGGGCAGCAAAGGCTGTTGGCATTGCTTAATAAATCCCAGTGGCGGGTTGGCTAAATGCCTAGGGGGTGGAGGATGCTTGCCCTCAACCCTGAATACCAGCATTCAACTTCTAGAACCCACATATATGGTAGCAGGAGAGAACAGACTCTCCAAAGATGTCCTTTGACATTCAAATGTGCCAGGACACCCCAAACACAATAAATACGTGTGATCAAAGTATGTCTATCACTTCTTAGTGTTTAGAAGGTAAAACAATAGATGTCTCCTTAAATCTGAATTTAGCTAAGTGGAAAGTAACTTTTAGCATCAACGCGCCCCATGCAGTATTTGGGATAAACTAACACTGAAGACCTATTTGAAGTTCAGATTTAATGCAATAGCCCACATTTTACCTGGAAACTACCCAAGTACCCAAGGGCACAGAGGAAAAGATTAGTCTTTCACCTATCCCACAGCCAGCTGTCCAACTGGTATTCTAACCAGGCTCCTTGGAAACATCTTCTTTCAACACCCAGGCAGAGCAGATGGGCTAAGTAGGAGCCTCTTCCTGAGCGGCTGAGACCAGTGCCTTGTGGGAGCACCCAACACTGGGCCAAGCCACCGCTAGAGCTCAAAATAGCTTTCCTCATTCATTTGAGCCTGCTTGGGCTCTAGTACCAAACCTGGGAGAGGATGATAATGGGAAAGCCAGGTTGTTTTGGGGAGAGAGGCTCCCAAGAAAAGCTCACCTGGCACGGAGGGTAAGGGAGGTCATTTCCAACCACCTACTTCATGAGGTTGTTAAGATCAAATAGGGAAACGGCTGAGGATACACCTTGTAAATAAATCCATGGTCATAGGTCATGATCAAGACCTTTGAGTGGCTCGTTTAGCACAGGGCCTCATAACCGTCATACTGTCCAAGGAAGACGGATGTGACAGAGGTGTACCAACACACAAGGCTAGCGCATTGGACACTGTAGTAAGAAAGACCAGTGCTTTACCACAAACGTTCACATCCGTCTCTCACAAGGTCTCACCACAGCTCCACAAGGTGAGGACGAGCTGGGGTCCATTTCCCACAGGATGATGAGAGTGGCCTGCAAGTGAGACCAGGCAGGGGAGTTGGGGGTGGGGGGTGGGGTCCCACTGGTGCAGGATAGGGGCGGAGACCTACCTTCTGGGCCTGCTGGATCATCTGCCTGACTACCTGCTTCAGGTGCGGCGCCTTCTCTTCTTTGGGCGGGTGGGTGAAGAGCGTGACTCGGCTCACACCGCGGTAGAAGCTGGAGTCGGTCCATCCCAGGTCCAGCGGGGGCACTTCGGTGTCCGAGCGGTCTGGCCAGTAGGCCAGGGACTCACCGGGCTCGGCCGGGGCCTTGGCCTTGGCACGGGCGTTGGAGACAGCTTCCTCGTAGGGGCTCCAGGCGGCGCAGAGGGCCTGGCGTTCCTGGCTGGAGAGGAAGTCCCGCAGCCGCTCCTTCTTGACCCGTTCGCGGTAGGCCTGCTCGCCTTCACCCAGCAGAGCCTCCAGCGCGGCCCGCCGCCTCTCGCAGTAGTAGAAGACGGCATGCGCCTCGGTCACCCTCTCGTTCACGTGCGCCTCGTCCAGGCAGCTCAGCTGGGACTCGGCCATGGCGCCCCAGCCCCGTCCCGGGCCCCGGGCTCGGACCCTGCTGTCCCCACCGCTGCACCTGGAGCTCTCGAGGGGCGGGGCGCCTCACCTGGCCGCGAGGTCCGCCTCGGCCCGCCCAGCGATCGCCAGCCGGCCAATGGGCGCGGGCCCCGGTGCGGGCGCGGCCGTCGGGCGGAGAGGGACCGCCGCCTCTGCAGGGCTTGCGGGGATCTCACCGGCGGCCCAGCCGTCGCCGTGCGTCTCTGGCCTATCTAGCCCGGCTGGGGTGCGGAGCCCCGGCGTGGAAGTGAACTTGGAGCCGGGCTGTAGTCAGAGGCACGTGCGGCCTTTGAGCCACGCCCGCCTCCCAGCTGCGACCCATCGGTGCAGGGAAGGTCGGCGACATGACCCTTTATGCATCCAGCACCCTCGGGACACAGCCCTGCGGGTTCAGCCTCATCTTCCCGCGGGCAGGACCCAGAGCACGTGTTCTAATCCGGACGGCTGCGGGGTTTAGTAGCATCCTGACCCCTCCGGCCTTCAGAGTCCAAGTGCGTGTGCTGTTGGGCTAGATCGTGCGGACTGTGTAGGGGGCAGTCGGTGTGGGAAAGCAAAGATGCTAATGAAATCCCCAGTTCTGCCCACGCGTCCCAGTTCTGAGATCAGAGGCCTCCAGGGGCTGTCAATTCAACACCGTTACTACAAAATTTTTTCTCCTGAAAGAATCACCCAAATAAAAAAGATGTAAGCAGGCGGCTGTGAATTTGCCCCTCATTTTAATTTGAAGTGGTGTGCGTGCCTGTGTTTGGGCCTGATGGGCTGCCAGAGGCCTGATTACTATATTAGCGATTCAAAATACTTGTCTGAGCCCAAGGAAGGAAGCTGAGCACAGACACGCGCGTGCACACCACCACCAGAGAATCTGCTGTTTCCCATTGGATTAAATACAATCTTCTTAGTCATTAACATATTATTTTGTTCGTGTGCTGCTGTACAATTTTGATTCTCCACATTCAAAATATTTTCAGATCATAGCAACCAAAGGTTCACATTTCTCTCATTTTGTAGCACAGCGACTTGGAGCTGGAAGGAGCTTTAGAAATGAGTCCAACCCCCTCATTTCACAAACGAGGAAATTGAGGCCTAGAAATAAATGCTTTTCTATATCTCCCGAGAAACTAGAGCCTAAGCGGAGGAACTGCTACGCTTTCTGCGGTGAAGGAGGTCCTTTCCCTACATGTGGCCTCCTTTGCTTGTTCTTATGAAGAAACAGGTTATTGAGGTTACTAGGGGTGTGTATGAAGGAGTCAATGAGCATTTCTAGAGCTCGTTCTCTCTCTCTCCCCCTCTTTTTCCCTTCTTCTATCTGTATCTTTGTCTCTCTTTCTCCCTCCCTCTTCTGTGCTTGGGATAAAATTCAGGGCTTTGGCAAATTAGGAAAGGGCTCTTTCATTGAGCTATATACCCCACAGCCCCGTTGACGGTCTGGAGAAATGAGTGTTTAGATTGTCTGCAGGGGCTGGAGAGATGGTTAAGAGCACTGGATGCTTGCCCAGAGTACCTGAGTCTCCATGGTGGCACACAACCATCAATAACTCAAATGCCAGAGCATCTCTGACACTCTCTTCTGTCCTCTGCAGGCACTTAGTATGCATACGTACAGAGACATAAATGCAAACAAAACATCCATACACATACAATTTTTAAAAATTAAATTAAAAATTGCAGGGTTTGTGACAATAGTCACTGCTGGCACTGGGGATGGTGAGAAGTAGCAAAGGTGCCTGTCCCCTCAGATGTTCTTCTCCACTCATGAGAATCAGAAGGTTTCACCCCTCATAACACTCCACTCTAAAAGTGCTATAGGCATAGTCTGCATTAGTTAGGAGAGCGTTTCCTTGCTTTGGAGGCCCTGTGAGAGAGAGGCCAGGCCTTCTGTTCAGGGAATGCAGAGGAGCTTGAAGCAGTAAAGGGGAGGGAGAGACAGCCAAGGGTGAGACAGCTGAGAAGGACAGCATAGTGTAGCAAATGTGCTTTAGCGACTATAGGCAAGCCAGATGCCACACACCTGTCACCCAGCACCAGAGAAGCTGAGATAGGAGGATGGTGAGTTAGAAGCCAGACAGGGCAACTTGACAAGACCTTGTTTCAAAAAATAATAAACCACTACTGCCACAAAAGGCAAGCATATGCTTAGAGGGGAAACTGATTTAATGAGCACTTACTTGGTGCTTACTGTATACCTAGCACAATTCATGCTCACCATTTTATTTTATTTTACTTTATTTTTTGAGAGAGAGTCTCAGCCCAGGGCCTCAAACACATTGTAAGTAAAGGAGACTTGCCTTGAACTCCAGATCCTCCTGCCTCCATCTCCCAAATATTAGGATTACAGGCATCTATCACCCTCCCAAGTTTAGTGTACATTTCCTAAGAGAATGAACCAAAGATCTGGGCATGTTGGTTCATGTCTATATTCTTAGCACTTGAGGGGCTGAGGCAGGAGGGTTGCTATGAATTGAAGGCAAACATTGGGCTACTGGGGCTGTTTGACTAAGAAATGTCCCCAATATGTGTATTCAAACACTTGGTCTTCAATTGGTGGCACTGTTTGGGTAGATTATGAAACCTTTAGAAGATGTGATGTAGTGTTTTCTATTTCTGTTTTGCTGTGATAAAACACCATGACCAAGACAACTTATAGAAGAGTTTATTTGAAATTGTGGTTACAGAGGGTTAATGGCCATGATGGCAGAGCAAAGGCTTGGCAACAGGAGCAGGAAGCTGAAAGTTCATCTTTAACTGAAAACATGAAACAGAGATCAAGGTAGAGATGAAGCCAGTCTTTCAGAGCCTGCCCCAGTGACACACCTCCTCCAGCAAGGCCACACCCCCTCCAGCAAGGCCACACCCCTCCAGCAAGGCCACACCTCCTCCAGCAAGGCCACACCTCTTAAGGCTCCCAAAATAGCACCACCAACTAGGAACCAAGTCTTCAAATGTTCGAAACTATGGGAGGCAACTCATTCTAACTACCACATAGAACCTTGCTGGAAGAAGTATATTACTTGGGGTGGGCTTTGAGAACTCACAACCTCTCCCTACTTCCAGATGGCCCTCTCTGCTTTGTGGCTGTGGCTGAGATGTGATCTCTCAGCTTCCTGATCTGGCTGCCAGGCCTGCTACTTGTTGCCACGGGCCCCTGACACAATGAACTCTTATCCCTCTAGACTGGTAAGCCCAAATAAACTCTCTCTTCTATAAGTTGCCGTTATCGTGGCAATTTGTAGACAAAAAAACAAAACAAAACACCCAGAAAAATAACGATTACGGAAGTTGGTACTGAGAGTAGGTTGTTGCCGGAAAGAACCTGACCATGTTGAGTTTTGGAGAAATGTAGAAGACTCTGGAACTTTGGACAAGAAAAGTAGTTGAATGCTGTGAGCATAGTTTAGTGGTCTGTTCTCATAAGAGCCTGGAAGATAGCAGGGTGGATAGTTATAAGGATGGCAGAGACTTGGCTCAAGAGATTCCAGATGGGAACAACATTAGCAGTGAGCTATAGAGAGTCTGGCTACCTTCTGCCCATGTCCTAAGAACTTGTATGAGCCTAAATTTTAAAGCAGTGGACTGATTAATGTATTTGTCACAGGAAGTTTCTTTAAAATATTTTAAAAATCATTTTATTATTTTGCGGGTATGGGGTATTTTGTCTGCATGTATATCTGTGTACCATGTACATGCAGAGCCCTTGGAGGCCAGGAGAGTGTATTGGACCCTGTGACTGGAGTTATAGACAGTTGTGAGCTGCCATGTGGGGGCGAGATTCATATCTCTGGATGAGCAATCAGTGCTCTCACCCACTGAGCCATCTCTCCAGCGTGTGATGGAAGAAATTTCAAGACTGTGGAATGGTTGTTATTGATAAGGCTTATACAAGTCTATAATGACAAAAAGCAGGGGCAGAAAGAAATACAAAATGTACAGTTGAGGAGGAAGAGAACCAGGAAGCTTAGTGTTACAGCCAAGGGACATGTTGGAAGAGAGGCTGCAATCGTTAAGGAGACCAGCAGCCTTGATGAGAGGCCTGCTCTGCATTGGAACAACAGGGTAATGATGCTGACCTTTCTTGACCTAGGGGTTAAACAAGATCACATATTTGATGGAATTGGTACTTTGGCAGAAGGTGATTTACAGTGATGTTCTAAGATTTTGGAGTCCCCGACAATCACCTGGGCAAGAAGTGTCTGGTTAAAATTCAGGTTTAGATTCAGTAAGTCTTGGATGAGGCCTGAGATTCTGCATTTCTAAGAAGTCCCAGGCTGATGGACAGGTGGATTTTCCTGTGGTTTGTGTTTCAGAGGTGGAAGAATGTAAGAACATGAATGGAATCCAGCTTTCCTGATAGCTGCTGTGTGTCCCTGGGAAAGTGAGTTCTCCTTGCTGAGCCTTCCTCTCATTACCATAAATACAGGCAAGAAGTCCTAGTGGGGAGGACTCTTAGAGAAGGCAAGCAAGTTAGTGGAAACACAGTCAGTGGTTTGCAGAAGTCTGGGGTACACAGCAGCTGGTCATGGAAGTTCGTTTGAGAGCATGAGAAGAGGCAAGCAGAGAGAGAGGGGGGGGGGACAAACTATAGAGACCTCAGCTTTGTTTATTTACCTATTTGAGTCAGAGCTTTGCTATGTGGCCCTAACTGGCCTTGAACCCAAGATCTTCTTGACTTGGCCTCCAAGCTGATTGAGTGAGTTACAGGTAAGCCACCTCTGACTGGGACCTGACCTTAGTCGTCTCTATGCTATAGCTACAGTGGAGCCACTGAGGGACCAGAGATTGATAGGGCTGTAACAATACAGTATCGATTGCTATGCCAGACACCATGCTAAGCATTTGATGCTTCCTTCAAATGAACTATAAGTCCCATTGGAAAATCTCCCATCCTTGTTCTCCATGGTAGTTAAGGGAACACAGAGAAGTTTAGAGCTCACTTTAGCTCGTCCACCTAGTAAGGAGAGGAGCCGGCGTTCAGAGCCAGACTGGCTAACTTCAAAGCCTGCCCACCTCCTCAGGCTGCAATGCTGTCT